AAATCTTGCAGTACCTTAAGAACCCTAAACTATGGGAATGATAGGCCTATTCCTGATTATGGGTAATGCAGGGTTTATGTCATCAGCCGTAGTTTTAGGGAACCCGAAGCCAGCCCTGACGGCGGCTTAGGGCTTAGGGTTTAGGGTTTAGGGTTTAGGGTTTAAGGGTTTAGGGTGTAGGGTTTAGGGTTTAGGGCTTTTGCAGCTCAAGAAGCCGGTAGCGCACATTGCTCTTTGCACCCTTCCCTGCGACACGTTGCCGCCAGGGCAAGCAGCCTTCGACAGTTCTGTGGGGGTCTCAAGAAGAAAGGGGCGCCCTAAACCCTAAACCCTAAACCCCAACCTGGGATCCTTGTCCGTACTCATAACAAACCTCAAAATAGGTCGCTCCTATTCCTGATTAAAGGAAACTACAAGTGGGGGAGTTTAGGGTGTATAGGGCTTCTAGAAGGCTTCTATAAGGTATATAGACCTTCTCTAAGGCTCCTACAACGGTAACTGCCCACCTGAAAATGTCCTAGACCTGAGGAACCCACAGTTAGGTTTAAGGCTGATCATAGCTAAACCCTAAACCCTAAACCCTGAATCCTAAACCTCAAAACCTAAACTCTAAACCCTGAATCCCAAACCTTAAAATCTAAACCCAAAAACCTAGATCCTAAGCCCTAAACCCTATACCCGAAGCCCTCAACCCCTAAACCCCTAAACCCTAAACCAAAAACCCCAAAACCCCAAAACCCTAAACCCTAAACCCTGACATGGATCCTCTAGAGTTTGCCAGGATCATGGCAGCCCTTGGCTAGCAGCCTCGTTTGGGCAGTGGAAGCTGCGGCTCACATTGTCGAGCTCCACCATCATGCCCGCCCTTAGTAGGGTTTAGGGTTCAGGGTCTAGGGTTTGGGAAGTTTAGGGCTTAGGATTAAAGAGTTTAGGGTTTAGGATTTAGGGTTTTGGGGCTTACGGTTGGTTGGGCCAGCATCCCGGCCCCTAGTGAGATGAGCACCGAAGCTTGGGGGTCTGTTTTTTTTTTTAATTTTTTCGGGGGGTTCAAGTACTAGTAGTAGTAGTAGTAGTAGTAGTAGTAGTGCTGCCGAAAGAAGCTAGAAAACCCAGCAGTCACTGTGAAATTATATTTAACGATGAAGGGCAAGAAGAAGCGCGTTTATCCTGATTTAGAGGTAAGGAGAAGAAGTTGAGATATTTAGGAAGCGAAAACCAGATGAAAAAGAAAGGGTGAGTGACTGGTCACAGAATATTTACACCGTAGAAAATCTTGAAAATAAACTAGGTCCTAGGTCAAAAGTATTATAGAGCGGAAGGTAATCATAGGCAGCATTTGCGGTTTGAACTGCTGAAGGTTTGAGGGTAAGTACTCTCCGACGTGTTTGTATGATCCGCACATCACACTTTCCATGACAGTCTCCAAAGCAGACGAGCTGACCGTCGGCCCGCACTAGCCAGACCTCCTTGAGCTGTACCCAAAACAGACGAGCTGACCATCTGACCGCACTGCACAAGTATGATAATCGCCAGCTGAGACTGCCAAAACTGGTCCCAAATCTGCTGGCACGTCACACTGCCCAAACTCGTTGTCTCCAAAGCAGACGAGCTGACCATCTGCCCGCACTGCACAAGAATGCCAATCACCCGCCGAGACTGCCAAACATGGTCCCAAATCTGCTGGCATGTCACACTGCCCATACTCGTTGTCTCCAAAGCAGACGAGCTGACCATCTGTCCGCACTGCACAAGAATGAAAATCGCCCGCTGAGACTGCCAAAACTGGTCCCAAATCTGCTGGCACGTCACACTCCCCATTCTCGTTGTCTCCAAAGCAGACGAGCTGACTGTCTGCCCGCACTGTACAAGTATGATAATCGCCCGCGGAGACTGCCAAAACTGGTCCCAAATCTGCTAGCACGTCAGACCCTCCATGATAATCGTTATTGTCTGCAAAGCAGACGAGCTGAGCATCTATCCGCACCGCACAAGTATGAGAAGTGCCCGCTGAGACTGCCAGAACTGGTCCTGAATCTGCTGGCACGTCACACTGCCCATACTCGTTGCCTCCAAAGCAGACGAGCTGACCATCTGTCCGCACTGCACAAGAATGAAAATCGCCCGCTGAGACTGCCAAAACTGGTCCCAAATCTGCTGGCACGTCACACTGCCCAAACTCGTTGTCTCCAAAGCAGACGAGCTGACCATCTGTCCGCACTGCACAAGAATGATAATCGCCCGCTGAGACTGCCAAAACTGGTCCCAAATCTGTTGGCACGTCACAGGATGCGGAAATCCGAGTTGGACTGTGCAGTCTGTAGGATAAGCACCTGGCATGTTGAAGCCGTGGCCGTGGCCGCACGAAACGTAACTGACCTAGTGTGAAAACGAACCACGAGCCAGGATGGATTGAAAGAAACAACTGGAATGCAGTCCATTGTGTCCAGAAGAGTAGCCTGGCTTTCGTGGCCATTGAGAGATGGATGTAGGAAGCAATGCTCCAGGAGGGCACAGTTGAAGCTGAAACACGGGAATCTAGACAAGTAGTTCATGTTATGCGACTAGTATCGTCCTAGTCGATACGGCCTGAATCCTCTACACGTTATTCTTATTACCGTAGAAGTCTTTAAGAAGACCATTTCCATTTTCAAGGTTAGGGATTTCAGGTTGGATACTATCGGTTTTTCTACGGGGGTATTGGTGTATGGAGTTTAGGTTGGGTTTTCTATGCGGTTGCCTATGGGTCTTCTGGTGGTTCCATCCTAGGGATATTCCTGTAGGTCTTTTGGTGAGTTGGGGATTGAGGCATAGGTTGTTATGGTTTTGGGTTCTTCAAGTGGAAAATTTTCCAACGGGTCTTTCGGTGGGTTTAGGGTTGAGGTCTAGGTTGTTATGGTTTTGGCTCTTCGGGCGGCCTAGGGGGGTGGGCATGCTTAGAAAATGGAAATGGTAGTTGCTAACTGTATAGTGGTATAGCGGTGGACCGCCAGCAGCAGCAGCAGCAACAAATTGTTTGCCAAATGTTCGCCGGAATGGAACTAGACGACCATTGATGTCTTATAGACCAGAAAGTTCAAAACTTGAGTATGGGCTGAGCCTCAACCCTAAGCCCTAATCCCTGAGGAACCCCTGAGAAAAAAAAACAGCCCTAAACCCTAAACCCTAAACCCTAAACCCTAAACCCTAAACCCTACCCTAAACCCAAAACACGAAGATTAACAACCTAGAACGGGAGATTCAAGGAATACCAGACCTCGACTCCGTAGGGGTTGAGGGGTTTAGAGTTGAGGGGCTTAGGGTTTAGGGGTTTAGGGTTTAGGGAACCGTAATCCCTAAACCCTGCGCTTAAACCCCTAACTTTAAATCCTTGACTAGTGTTGCTGCAATCCTTATTGTTGTTATTATGATGCTTATTATTATATTTATACTTATTCTTATTGTTATTAGTAGAAGTAGTAGTAGTAGTAGTAGAAGTAGTAGTAGTAGTAGTCGTAGTAGTCGTAGTAGTAGTAGTAGTAGTAGTACTAGTAGTAGTAGTACTTTCGTATTATGCGTATTATTCGTAGTACTAGTATTATTCGTATTTTTAGTATATTAGCATTACTAGTAATATAAGTACTAGTAGTATTATTGTTTGTATTCTTGTTACTATCATGACTACTGCTGTTTCAAGTCAACTCCACACATTAAACCCTGCACTAGGTTGTTTGTCTTCGTGTTTTGGGTTTAGGGTTTAGGGTTCGGGGTTTAGGGTTTAGGGGAATATAGGGGCCTTAATAGTTAGAATGGGGTTTGGGGGCCCATCATGCAATAATTATAATAAGGAACCCCAGAAATAGTATTGGTAATTCTACCCTAAACCCAAACCCTGAACCCTAAACCCTAAACCCTAAACCCTGAACCCTAAACCCTAAACCCTACATTAGGGTTTAGGGTTTAGGGTTTCTTCCGACCAGGCACTCCATCTCGAGTTGGCTGGGCCAGCATTGCTGAGCTCCGTCGGGGCAGGGGCTGCAAGGCCTTGGTTATAGGGTTCTTTGGGGTTTAGGGGTTTAGGGGTTTAGGGTTTTGAGAGTTTAGGGGTTTAGGGTTTTAGGGTTTAGAGTTTAGGGGTTTAGGGTTTAGGGTTCTTTGGGGTTTAGAGTTTAGGGCTTTAGGGGCTTAGGGGTTTGGGATTTGGGGTGTGGGGGTTTAGGGCTTAGGGTTTAGAGTTTAGGGTTTTAGGGGTTCTTTGGGGTTTAGGGTTTAGGGTTTGGGGTTTAAGGTTTAAGGTTTAAGGTTCAGGGTTTAGGGTTTTTGGGGTTTAGAGTTCAGGGGTTTAGGGTTTAGGGTTTTTGGGGGTTAGAAAGTTTAGTTGAGGGTTTAGGGTTTGGGGTTTAGGGTGCTTAATAAATAATTAGAATGGGGTTTGGGGCTCTTTTATTACATGGTATAACTATAATAAGGAACCCTAAGAATAACATTGGTAATTATTTAGGCTTTTACATTAAACTCTAAGCGTGAAGCTCTCAGAAAACACAGGGCCACTGGCCACTCCCTCCAAAAAACAGCCTGCGTCGTAGTTTTGCAGTGACCCCTAAACCCTAAACCCTAAACCCTAAACCCTAAACCCTAAACTGTAGCAATGGACCGTTAATGCAACCGAAGAGCCCGATTCCTGGAGAGCAATGAGAGCGTCAAACCGTAAACGCTGAACCTCCAACGTTCATGAACCCTGAACCCTAAACCCCAATGAA